CTGGAAAGAAAGACCAGACCCATGAGGGGAAAAGGCTCATTATTTTCTTATTGATCTGAGATTTAATAGAGCAACAATTATGTACTTTTCAAACCGGAGCATGCTATCTATTTTTTTTTTTTTTTTACCCTAGCTGTGTATGAGAACCCAGTTCCCCTCATCAGCTAGAGACTGCATGCCTCAGGTGCAGAGAGGGCCGGGAGACGCACTGCTGGTGGCCTGGGAATGGTGCAGTGCACAAGAGGGAGTGGCTGGGCCTTGTGGGAGCCTAGGTGAGGGACAGAGGGGACATCTGGGAAAGCCCTCACTGCCACCCTCTCTGCCTGAGGTGGAATCAGAGTGACTGTCTCCTGACCAACCAGGCCTTTACTGCTCCTGGCGCGCAGGCAGCACTGAACCCTCTGCTGGAGAAGGTGGGCTCCCCCATGCCAGGAGGCCAGGCCCCCAGTCCCTCCTCCCCACCCTCGCCTTCAGAGTGGAGCTGACCACAGCCTTTGACTTCCATCTCTGGAAGGTGACCCATGCTGTCCCTGTTCTCGGCTGGCTGGCTGGCTGGCTGGCTGGTTGGCTGGCTGCATGAGCCGGGTCTGTGGGTGGAGGACAGGATGCTACTCCGGCACGCTCTCCTAGTTTCTCTTCTTGCCCTTAACTGCACAGATGCTTAATCAAGCAGACAGTGTTTACCAAAAGTATGTGCACACTCATCCTTTAAAACTCTGCTTACTTGTCACTCCTGCCAAGCACCCGGCACCCCTTCGCCTTGGCAGCCTCCAGGCAAGCTGTGGTGCATTGCAGAGTGCAAAGAGTCCTGGGCCCTGCCCTGTTCTTTCAGGTCCTCCACCCTGGGATTAGTGAATTGGGTTGGGGCCTCAGGAGGAACATGTGAGGTTTAGCAGCTGAGTACCTGATAAGAACTTAACATGACTAAGATATTGTTCCATTTTATTAAATTGTCATTAATTTTTTTTTTGTGTGTGTGTGGTGCTGAGGATTGAACCTGAGACCTTGAACATGCTAGGCTAGTGCTCTGTCACTGAGCTGTATCCCCAACCTCTAATTTCCCTTTAAATAACAATCTGTGGCGTGCCATGCCGGCCCCACCACCGGGGTGTGCTAAGACTGGCAGTTGAGAGATTGAGACTGGGTATGGTGGTGCCCGCCTGTAATCCTGTCACTTGGGAAGCTGTAAATAGGAGAATCACTACAAGTCTGATCTATGTAGTAAGACTCTGAGTACCCTGTAGACCCTGCCCTGAATAAAAAAAAAAAAAAAAAAAAAAAAAATCTGTGGCTTTCTACTATTGCATTCAGGTAGAGGAGAACAGTACAAGGTTTTAGACAAGGCACAAGGGGTATCCCTAATAACGGTGAGCGGCATTTATTGAGCACCTGGTGTGTGGGGGTTGCTTTTCATAATCTTCACAGCAACCCTAAAGGATAAATATTACCCAGTTTTACAGATGAGAACATCTTATGTGAACAGGCTTTGAACCGCTTGCCCAGGAGCCCTCTCAGGCCTTAGCATCATGCCCACTGCCTCAGGATGAGGTGAGAACAGTGTTTCAGGAACATGACATGGATGACAGTCAGGGTGGGGGGTGTGAGCACCCAGGAGGACTGGGAACTCGAAGTGACGCCAGGGTAGAAATGATCGTGCATTTTGAGGGCTCTCAACATGAAAAGCCCAGTCTGGCACAGGGTTTCCATGGGCTGAGTGTTTGTACCACTACCACCCCCAGTCCATGTGTTGAAACTCTCACTCAAGTAGGATGATATTTGGAGGTGAGACCTTTGAGAGGTAGATTGTGGTTAGGTGAAGTCATGACAATCGAGTCCCCATGATGGGTCTGGTGCTTTTATAAAAACTGAGACCAGGAGGAAAGCCCAGCCATGCTGCCACCCTCCTCTGGAGCTTCAGGCCTCCAGAACTGTGGTGGAGAAATTCACCACCTAGTCTAAGGCATTCTTGTTACAACAGGCTGAGCAGACTGAGATTCCCCTGGCTTTGTGTTCTACAGGGTGGCAACCAGGCTGTGCAGGCCATGGGCCTGGGCTTCCTGTCTGTGGCTAGAAAGCTCTCCCATCCTCCTGATAGCTCAAGGCAGAGCCAGATTCTGGCCTAGAAGCACATCAGGAAGCAGGTGAGCAGGTCCCTGCCATACCCGTGTCCATAGTAAAATCTTATGCCAGGATCAACTTAGGTCACTTTTGCCTAGGCAATTGCGAGCCACCAACCATCTGAGCAGAACCAGTCCCCTTGTTTGTGTGGGTCCTGGTGTACCAGTGTCTTAGTTACTCTTCTCTCATTGCTGGGACAAATACCTGACACCCAAAATGAAGGAAGGAAAGGTTTATTTAGCTCACAGTCACGGGAGGTTTCAGTCCATACTCAGCTGGGTCCAAGGCAGAGCAGCAGAAAACAACCTGGCAAAGAGCAAGAGTGCAAGGGAGGAGTAGCAGCAGCTCAAGCAGCTAGCTTCTCTTCCCTCCTTACATTGTAATGCAAATTACCTGCCGCAGGGCAAGTGCAGCATCCACACCCACAATAGTCAATCACCCCCAAGACTGCATGAGGCTTTGGGGGGACAACTATACACAAACCATAACAACCAGTCACTTCCTAAATGGTAATTTTATATTTTATTCTACCTGATTTTCAAGACCACTCTTATTCAACAGCCTAAGGAGGGGAAGAGTGCTCTGTGCTTTAGGGTGAGCTGTGAGCCCCATAAGTATGTAAAGAATACAGCAGGAAAATCTGGCCTCTCTGAAGGCCACACATATTTTCACATTTGCAATATGTGTAGAGGAGACAGTAGGAGCTAACACGGAATACAAAGCCAGCCACCGTCCGCACCTCCTTCCTCTCCCCTTTACCAAAGGAAGAGAGGCCTGTGGTATGTGTCTTGAAGTTCCTGTTGTGGGTTGATGGAAATCCTACTCTGGAGCAAGGAGGGTGGGGTTGTGGAAGGTTAAGAAGAGGCAGATTCGAGAGGAAGGCCAAATACAGTCCAGAGATGTAGGCTGCTGGTCCCTGGAGAGGCTCAGTCCTCGCCTGGCAAAGGTCTCAAACCCTTGGGCCAGCTATGGTGGTGCATACCTTGAAATCCCAACTATTGAGAAGGCTGAGGCAGGGTCAAAAGTAGAAAGCCCCCCTCAAAAAAAAAAAAAAAAAAAGAAGGCCAGCCCGGGCAATTTAGTGAGAGCCTATCTCAAATAAGAAATAATTTTTAAAAGGGCAGGGCTGAATGTGATGGTACACACCTGTAATCTCAACTTGCAGGCTGAGGCAGAAAGATTACCAAGAGTTCAAGACCAACCTAGGCTGTATAGTGAGTTCGAGGGCAACCTGAAATACATAACAAGACCCTATCTCAAAAAAAACCCAACCAAACAATGAACTAATTAATTAAAATTAAATTTCAGAAGGGCTGGGAGGTAGCTCAGTAGTAGAGCATTTTTTTAGAATACATAAGGCCCTGGGCGTAGAACTCCAAAAAACAAGTAAAAGAGAGATCCCAAACCTAGGACTTGCACAGAGGTGTCCCCTCCACCTGCTGTGAGGGCCACAAGAGCTGGCAGGGCAGCAGGCAGCGGTGGTCAGCATGGACAATGCATAGGAGACCCTCCACAAGGTGTGGGACCCAGCAAAGACGCCAACTCTAGGGTCTTCCTGAGAGCTGGAAGGGGTCCCTGATGATGACCAGAACCTGCACTGGGCTTTCCTGCAGGCCCAGACGGATGGGAGCTTGGAAAAGAGTCCATTTTATTTGGAGAAATTAAGAAGTGACATTTCTCGCACCTGAGCCTTGGGTGGCAGCCAGTCTGTACCCCTATAAATGTGTCATAGCCTCCTTTCCATGAGCTCCAGCTCCCTCCTTCCTGCAGCACTGGGCTCAGCCACCCAATCAAGCTGGTGACACATGCTTTGGGAAGCCAAGTTAGTGACATTTTCCTCTCCGGGAGAGGTGTGCTTCTTGCTCAGTTGGCAGCCTGTAGAAAAGGCCAAGCAACTGATCTAGCCCTCCCTGGGGGCGGGGGGAGCTGGAGAGGGTCCTCCCCCCACCTCCCTCCATCCCCACCCCCCTGCAGGGACTGGAGGCTCTGAGCGCACCCCCCACCACCACTGAATCGCAGCCCCAACAAATCCATCCCTGCCTCCAGTGTGTTTATCCTGGCCTTTCTCATTGTGGCTTGTTGCTGTGCCTTTAGGGGAAGCAAAATATGTATTTAGAAGTTAAGAACTTAAACACCTCTGCAGAAGGAGAACATGAGACTCCAGCTTCTGCCTATGTGTGTGTCCCAGAGGATATAATGTAACTGTTCCAAAGCCAGCCTGAACCCCATCCTTACTGGCTGAGTGATCTGGAGCAGATTTGCAAATTCCTAAATTCTTACACATCCCAGATTCCTCACCTGGGGAACGGACCAGTGCTACAGGATTTGGGTCCTGGGACCATCAAGGGAGGGGACTTGACAATGAAGTACATGCTCAAGCTGTCACTGGTATTGCCTAGTGTCTTCTAACCTGTCATGCCCACGTGTGTCATTTGCATGGTGATGCAGGAGTGCACGGAGGACAGTACATCCTGCTCCGGTTTCCAGGTAGCCACACAATCTGCCACTTGAAGGCCGCATCACATTCTGTTTGCCTGAATCTTCCCAGGGTATTGGTATTGGAGTTATTTCCAGTTCTTTGCAGCTGAAAATGATGCAGCTGTGACTATCAGCGAGCTTAATTTTTGGATGTGGTCCTAACCGAACTTAATTCTGGGGATGGAATCTGTGGCAAAGAGATCCACAGATGGGGCTCATCCACTATGCCCCAAAGTCTCCCAGGGGTTGCTGGGTGATTTATGCCTTGTGAGTGGTCTGTCTTAGTAGCCAAAAGCTAAAGCCACCCATCCCTTGGAAGATGAAGAGGTGTCTCTTCATTACAGTTATCCAAGCCCGTCAGTCTAGGAGGAAGTACTGACAGGCGTGTGTCCTCTCTCTTGTAGAAAGTCTGCACCAAGTGTGGGATCGAGGCCTCTCCTGGCCAGAAGCGGCCCCTGTGGCTATGTAAGATCTGCAGTGAGCAAAGAGAGGTAGGGGTTCCCGGTGGCAGGGAAGGTGGGCTGGACTGTACCTGGGCAGCGTTGATATTGGGGAAGGGTTTCCTGGCAGGGGCTTCTCTGGGAGGTCAAGGAGTAACCCCCCTGGGGGTGCCAGGGAGAAGGGTGGGAGGGGCAGCTGCTAGCTTGGTTATCTTCCGTGTGTGGAGGTGGTCGTAGGCCTGGCTCTGCCTGTGAAGCCTGTGGTTTGGGAGGGCAGCCCTGAGTGGATGTGCAGGTGCCGTTTAGAGGGGGCTGTCATAGTAGCTTGGCTGAGTCAAGGGTTTGCTAAGCTCTCAGGACTTAGCTCCTTATGTCTGTGTGTTTCTTTCCTCCTTACATAACCCCATAGGTAGATATCCCTTTTTCCTGGTAGGGAAATGGGGACACGCGAGGCTAAGGGACTGGGGCCGCTGAGCAGGTGCGGCTGGGGACAAAGTGCAACCACTGTCTGCCTGGTGCTGCTATCCCCAGATTCCCTCCTAGTGTAACCCTGGTGCTGACCCCGTTGTAGGAAAGGAACTGAAGGTCATGGGGACTCTAGGAAGTAGCAGAGGGACTACAGTGGGGCCTGGCCCTGTTGTCCTGACCCCAAGCCCAGGACCTTCCTCACTGCACCAAGGTCAGAATGGAACCAAAGAGCAGGATAAGATTTGTAGCCTCCACAAGCTGTGCAAGAGGAGCAGCCCGTGGCTTGCCAGATACGGATGTAGCTTTCCCTTGTTGTGCTTGGTGCTTGATGTGTGCATTTCATTTGAGGATCCATAAAATGTCTTTAGTTCTGGAAAGTCCTCAGGATAACATCCTTGAATATCGCTCTGCTGCCATTCCATCTTTCTTCTAGAAACCCTACATTTAAAACTTTTCGGTCCATCTTGTATAGCTCCCAGCTGCTGTCCTTGCTGAGTGTTATTTTGACTCCCTCCAGGGGGTGTTGGGGCCCCCCAGGGCAGAGCCAGGCATCCACAGGGTGGTGGGATTATCCCAGAGCCCTGCTGTCTGTGCAGCCGCCTGCCCATCTTTTCACCTGCCCACCAGCCTCCAGCCTTTTTTCCCAGATGGGAAACTCCCTCACCAGCCCCAATTTATTGTCTCGGCTCTGGTCTCCTGCCTCCCATGGGATGCTTTAAATCCCTGTATCCTTGGTAGGCCAGTCTCCCAGCTGCTTCTATCTGCTTCTGGGCCTAGATCTCTGAAGACAGCCTTTGGTTCCTCAAAATAGTGAGCAGTTTGAGTTCCAGGTCCACTGAGATATATATCTTGACTTTGAACACCAATAAGTTGACTTCTTGGCATTTTTATTTTTAATATTTCCATTTGAAAAAAATATTTCCGTCTCTCACTGCTCTGAGTGTGGAAGAATAAGGTAGCAGGCAGGGACCTCAACCTCCTCCACCTCCTGGAGGTCCCTGGTTCCTCATGCCCAAGTGGCAGTGATAATGCCAACTTCTGAAGCTGCTACGAGAATTCTATGAGCTCTTTTTTTTTTCCTGTATTTTTAAGGAAAGGTCTACAGGGTGTTCAGAGTCTCACTACTAGATCCGACTTGTAGTGATCCGCCTGTTTACAGCCTCCCAAGAGCTGGGAATACAGGCGCACACCACCACACCCGGTCTCAATTGCTGTCTCAGCATGCCCCGGAGGCTGGGCAGGCCTGGGAATCAAACACCCCCCACCCCCCTCACCCCTGTTTAATCTGCTGAGCTATTTGGCCAGCCCTTCCATGAGCTCATTAAATTGTACAAAATATCTGGCACTCTAGATGCATCCCACCTGCACCCCTGTCAGAAAACTCCCCTTTGAATCTGAGGTCTTTCTGGTGTTTGGGGAGGGAGGACCCCTTTTAAGATGCAGGTTTTCCCTATCCACAAGGAATGAAATACCTTTACAACATTGCCTTGTAGGGAGACACCTCAGTAGGGTGGAATGCCGGTCACAGATGAGCTGTGGGAGGTCAGAGGTCAAGGAGATCTCAAAGGAAAGAAGCAGATGGGAGGAAAGGCAAATTTCACAAACTTAATCATTCTGTGGAGGGCTGCTGAGGCCGCTGCCCTGGCCAACCGCATCACGAGTTACCTTCACCCATTTCAATACTCAGAGCTACCACCTGCGGGGAGCACCCCAGCCCCTCCTAATCACCAGTGCTCTGGTGCCCAGAAAAGTCCAAAATAGCTTAGGATGAATTTTCTTATCTTTCCTAAAGCAAAGAATATGAAGCTGTGCATTATGCTATCAGTTTGTCCTTGAATTTCTAGAGGCCGATGAAACTTAACAAGATCAGGAATGTCCCCTCATACAGCACCAGGCACTGCATGGATGGCTAGCAGGAGTGGATGGGGCTCTGAACATCCGAGTGGAGCCACACCCACATGTGTGGTTATGGGTCTGTGGGTGCCATACCCAGGTGCTGGAGTGTCCAGTCTGCCCATGGGGTGGGAGAGAACAGGGTAATTGGGTTCCTCATGCCTTTTTTCCTCCTCTAGAAAAATATCTAATCATCACCAAGAGATAACTAAATAGAAAGGGCATTTAAAATGTCAGATTTTCAGCACCATGTGTAGCTCAGCCTAAGATTCTGATAAGAATGTAGAACTCTGTCCAACAGCAAAAGCCAAATCCTAATGGAAGAACTTGGGTTTTCCGATGGTACTTCTGTTACCACTCTGCCCAGGCAGTTTTATATTCCTTTCTCTTTAGTGCGTCACCTCCATCATCTCTGGCTGTAATTAGAAGTTATTTTCCTGGAGCGAGCTGAGTGCTGGGTGAAATGATCCTGAGCCGTCAGGTTGGCACTGCTGCCTCGTTATGCTCTTGGATGATGCAGCCTCGGTCCCGCTGCTCTTGAGGAGTTTACAACCTAATGCATTCATTCATTCAGACATTCAACACATTTATTGGACATCTTCTATATACCAGGCAAAATAGCTCTTCCTATGGGAGAAAGATCACAAACAGAGTAGTTAAGTGCTGCAGCCTCATAAGGAGCTTAAGACCAAGGGGAGATGGAAGAGGGGCTGTTTTACATGAGGACCAGAGATGGTTCATTAAGGAACATTTACAATATGTAGAAAAGCCTAAAATTAAAAAAAAAAAAAACTTATAGATGCTGGGGCTGGTGAGATGGCTCAGTGGTCTAAAGCACCTACTTAGAACAAGCTTAACAAAGCACAGGGACCGTGGTTCAATCCCCCAGCACCACATGCCAGCCAGCCCCGCCCCCTGGTGGCCTGAGCTGGCCACACACAGACACAAAATAAATAAATAAATAAATAAATAAATAAATAAATATTAAAAACAAACAAACAAACTTATAGATGCTAATAGCCAGAGATAACTGTAGTTAACATTTTAGCATATTTAATTCCAACCTTTTTGTTTTGGTTTGGTTTTTTTTGTCTTTTTGAGACAGGGTCTTGTTATGCAGTTCAGGCTTGGCGTGAGCTCACTTTGTAGCCCAGGCTGGCCTGGAACTCACAGGGATCTCTGGGATTACAGAGATGTACCACCATGCTTGGGTAATTCCAACCTTTTTCTGTGTCCTTTTTCTTTATATTATTGAATCTGTGTTTTAAAATTAATATTATATTATAAATCTTTCCCAGTGTCATCAAAACTCTTCTATGTGCATATTCTTCTAATTTAGGACATTTAAGTTGTTTTCATTTCTTTTTCTTACTAATAACTGGGTTCATAGCTCCTTGCCTACTTTTGTTTGTTTGTTTTTTATTTTGTGGATTTGTTTTTATTGACTGGGATTTAGGGTATGGGGTGGGAAATGTCACCTTGGGGCACTCCCCATGCCTGCCCCCAGGGAATGTCCTTTCTAAGCCTCCTGGGATGTTCTTTGAAGCTTTTCCTTTTTTCTTAATACTCTCAGCAGCCTCCTCAGGCCCACTACTGAGTGGCTCTTTCTTGGAAGAAAATTTTCTTTTTTTCTTGGGGACACTTCTGGCTGCCTCTTCTGGTTCACTACCTGTTTCCTCCTTGGGTAAAGATTTCTTCTTCTTTTTGGGTGGACTACCTTTTGTTTTGTTTTATTTATTTATTTCTTCCAGTGCTAAGGATTGAACCCAGGAACTCACACGTGGTAACAAAGGATTCTTTTGTGGAGCTGCCCCCTCTGCTACTTAGCCTACATTTTAGATTATACCCTCAGAATGGATTCCTGAAAGGAAAAAACAAACATTTGGTGTGGGTCTTTTCTTTTAAATCTTTACTTATGTATTCTTTTGTTTCTATTTGTCTTTTTTTTTTTTTTTTTTAAGGAACCGGGGATTGAACTCAGGCCCTTGCACTTGCCAGGCGAGCACTTATTTTACGGAGTCATCTGCCTGGCCCCTGTATTCTTTTGTTGTTGCTGCTGCTGCTGTAATTTAGGCTGGCCTTGACTCACTGTATAGACATGGCTGGTCTCAAACTTGTGATAATCCTCCTGTCTCAGTCCCCCAAGTGCTGGGATTACAGGAACCCCACACCTGACCTCTTATACATTTTGAATTTATTATTATTATCTCATAAGTAACTGGTATATGATTTGCTGCAATTTTTAAGAATAAGGACACAGTAGTTTTCTGAGCTCTTTGCTATCTGATAATTACCTTTATACAAAAAAACTTGGCTGATAATATAATTGGTCATAATTTTTCTGTTGCAAGTTGTTGTTTTCCCCCTTTACCTTCTAAGCACATAAAAAAAACAAAAAAAAAAAAAAACCACTATCAGAGAGTTGGCAAATGAAACAATTAGGAGAACTGGTACCTGGGGAAGGCGAAATAATAGCAAAGCTATGAAAGAGACTTAAGATAAGGGGCTTTTAATTGATTAATTGGAAGGTGGAAGAGGAGGAATAGAAACCAAATTGGACAAATAGGGCCTGGGGATGGGGGGAAGAGCAGGAAAATTAGGAAAAGAACCAAAGGAATTACTTTTCTTTCTAAAAATAAGGAATATTATTAATGGATTATAAAACTCCCTTGAGCAATATGCCTTGTGAT